ACATGAATTTACATCTTTGCATCAAACATCCATCATCAGGATAGTTGCATTCAGCTACATTTTACAGATCTTTCAAGAAAAAAAGAGAGTAAAAGACAACAAGACATTCTATGCAAGAGTGAGCAATCATCTTCAGATTCAACATTTCCAAACAAATTTTGTCTCGCTTGAGATAGTCTATTAAATACGAAGGATTTATTTCACTTGAGATTGTTTTTTCTTAAAAAAACTTTGTCTCGCTCGAAAGAAGATAGTTCATTTGACTCGAGATTTGTCTTGCTTGAGACAGTTTTTAGAAGACCTTTCATTTCACTCAAGATAATTTTTAAAGAATATTTTATTCCACTTGAGATGGTTTCTTTTGAAACAGAATATTTTATCTCGCTTGAGATAGTTTCACTTAAAACAAGAGTTGTTTCGCTTGAAACAGAAGATTTATTCGAAACAAGAAGATTTATTTCACTCAAGATTCTTTTTCTTAAAATAAGATTTGTCTCGCTTGAGACGATTTTTACTCGAAAGAAGACATTTCATTTGACTCAAGATTATTTTTCTTAAAAAAATATTTGTCTCGCTTGAGATGGTTTTTACTCGAAAGAAAACATTTCATTTTACTCAAGATTGTTTTTAAAGAAGATTATACCTCGGTTGAGATAGTTTCACTCGAACAAGAAGATTTTATCTCGCTTAAGATAGTTTCATTCGAAAAAAAAGATTTTATCTCGCTTGAGATAGTTTCAATCGAAACAAAAGATTTTATCTCGTTTGAGATAGTTTCACTCGAAACAGAAGATTTATCTCGCTTGAGATAGTTTCCCTCGAAACAGAAGATTTTATCTCGCTTGAGATAGTTTCCCTCGAAACAGAAGATTTTATGTGGCTTGAGATAGTTTCCCTCGAAACAGAAGATTTTATCTCGCTTGAGATAGTTTCACTTGAAACAGAATATTTTATCTCGCTTGAGATAGTTTCACTCGAAACAGAAGATTTTATTTCGCTTGAGATAGTTTCCCTCGAAACAGAAGATTTTATCTCGCTTGAGATAGTTTCCCTTGAAACAGAAGATTTTATCTCGCTTGAGATAGTTTCCCTCGAAACAAAAGATTTTGTCTCGCTTGAGATAGTTTCCCTTGAAATAGAAGATTTTATCTCGCTTGAGATAGTTTCTCTCGAAACGTAAGATTTTGTCTCGCTTGAGATAGTTTCCCTCGAAACATATGATTTTATCTCGCTTGAGATAGTTTCTCTCGAAACGAAAGATTTTATAAGAAACTAAGTTTGATTTTCAAGGTTTTCTTTACGAGTAAGTCATTCGGGCCATCAGTAAGTCTTTTTAGCATGATGCTTAAATCCTTCGGGTCATCTTAAGTCTTTCGAGCAAGATTATAAGTTCTTCGGGCCATCCATAAGACCTTTGGGCAGGGTGTTTTCAACGTTTTCGATACTTGATTAATCATAAATGGAGTTGAATCAGCCTCACTCGAGGGATCAACGTGACATGTAGGGGTTCCTTGATGACACCTAAGAAACTGAGCTTGATTTTCAAGGGTTTTTTAATGAGTAAGTCCTTCGAGCCATCAGTAAGTCTTTCGAGCATGATACGTAAGTCCTTCGGGCCATCTATAAGTCTTTCGAGCAAGATGATAAGTCTTTCGGGCCATCCATAACACCCTCGGGCAGGATGTTTTCAAATGAGTTTTTAGAAACTAAGCCTGATTTTCAAGGTTTCCTTATTGATTATTTCCACAAAAAAATGAATTTTGTCTCACTTAAGACAATTTTTACTTAAAACAAGTGTTGTCTCTTTTGATATAGTTTTTTTTCTCAAAACAAAAGCCTAAGTTTATTTTTTTGGAAACAAAGTTTGTCTCTCTTGAGACAGTTTCTCTTTAAATAAATTTTATCTCTCTTGAGATAGTTCCCCTTGAAATGAGTTTTTTTCGCTTGAGATAGTTTTTTCATCGAAATAAAATTTATCTCACTCGAGAGAACTTTTCTTAAAACAAGTTTCTTATTCATTTTCATCCAGATGTTGAATATTTGACAGGAATTCCAAAGTTACCAGAGGTTTCATTTCACAATTCCATGATTGAAGAAGAAGATTTCAGCAAAGAACCAATTCACGTCTTTATTTTTGAAAGAAATGGATCTCACCAAAATTCGAGGACCTTAGGGTCAATACCTTCTGGTACTTCAAACACAAATTACTGACACATGATAATCTTTTGCAGGTTTGAAAATCTTCAAAGAGAAGATAAACCGATCAAAATTTCCAGTAAAGAATTTGTAATGAAGAGATTGTTCCACTGTTTGCTAGAATCTATCACAGAAGGAGGTAGATCAGCACCAACATCTCATTCGATTCCATCACAGAAGGAGGTGGATCGACATTTTTATTTTCGCTCAAATCCATCGCAGAAGGAGTTGGATTAGTGTTAACTTTTATCTCGATTCTATCATAAAAGGAGGTAGACCAGCACCAACATCTCATTCGATTCCATCACAAAATGAGTTGGATCGACATTTTTATTTTCGCTCAAATCCATCCCAGAAGGAGTTGGATCAGCGTCAACTTTTAGCTCGATTCTATCACAGAAGGAGAAGTAGTTGGATCAGCGTCAACTTTTAGCTCGATTCTATCACAGAAGGAGGTGGATCGATATTTTCATTCGTTACATATGGAGTTGAATCATCAACACCTCACTTGAGGGATCAATATTTCCAGAAGAACCCGCGACTTGAAGAGAAGAGATTGAGTCAAAATGGTGCTCTATTATCTTTGCTTCATTCCCGTTTCATATCAATGAGCAAAGAAGGGCAGCTGTGAGCACCTTTTTTTAATCAGGCCATACAATGCCCACATGAAGCTGGCAGCCATCCTATGCCCACTTGCTGCTGCCATTGCCACCCACTGTTAGAGAACAAGCTACAAAAATCAAGGCATCATCATACTAACCAAGTTACAGGATTTTAAAATGTAAAATCAGTGTAAATTTGGCTATAAAAAGTCGAATGAATGTATTAACAAGAGGAAGGGGAAAGGAGAGAAATACAGTGTAAAAAAACAAGGGGTTTCCCCTTCGTTCTTGTAAGCAAAAAATTCAAAAAGAAATAAAAGAGAAAACAAGCAATTTCTTTCAATATCCATTTCATTTCCTTCGAGTCCTATGGCGATCGGAGGGAGGAGGAACGCTGATGAGTGATGATGGTTAAGCGGCGCCGATTTAAGTCAATTTACGGCTTGGGTTTCAGCCTCTGGTTTCGTCGAACGATGAAAGATGAGGGGAGAGGGGTGTCGAAGGTGGCCGTGTGTTAGTTTGGGAATGGTTTTAGGTTTAGTTAGAGGATGTTCTGTTCTTTGGTTAAATGTTAAGCTAAGGTTTTAAGATTTAGATAAAACGACAGTGTTTTGAATTAGAGTAATTAGTTCTTTAGCCGAGCTAGGGGTAAAATTATGAGATCACTCCGCTCTATTTTGGGTTAATGCAATTTAGTCCTCAGGTTAAGCTTTTTCGGGTTTTTAATCGCATCTTTATATTTCATGTGTCTTTCATTTTGGCTCTTCGTTATGTTGTTTTGAATTTTATATTAGTTTTATATTTAACTTGTAATTTTGTTAGTTGATATTTTAGTCCTTAAATTCAACAATTTTGGATTTTCATTTGTTTGTACATTTGGTATGCTTCTTTGGATAATTACATTTTAGTCCAGCATGCAATTATGGGTTTATTTCGATTTTAGCACATGAAATGTGATTATTTGTGATACATGACTTAACTTTTGTTTAATTTATGGTCTTAGACTTAGATTTATCTGCTTATTCATTTTAGTCATTATGTTGTTTGTTATTCATTTTCATGATAATGTTCATGTAAATATATTAGTATACAAGGATTAGTGTTGGATTAAATAGGTTTCATTTAGGATTAATATTAGATCTTACACATTTAGGTTTGAGCCCCTAGATTCTTTAATTTACATAATCTGTCACCGTATGTTAGAAAAAAGCCTTAATTTATTTTTAGTATAATTAGGATTAAATAAAATTTTGCTTGATTGCATTGTTTTTAAAACTTAAGGCACTATTCACTTATTAAGGAGTGAATAATATATCCTCCTTGATCGTGCTCAAGGGGTGACTACTGGTAATTCCCTAAATAAGTCAATATCCTTTTCAAAACCACATTATGTTTTCTAAAATCGAGGAAATGTTCGGTTATTAGGCACAATAGTTTATCTCCCACATTTACGCTAGGGGGCGAATGCTATCGGTTTCAATAATCGATTACCCTTTTCAAACTCTGCATCCTTAATGATTTTTAAATTAAATAAAGATCGAATTCAAAATTGTTGATTTTAAATATAGGGTAATCAAATAGGTACCAATTTTTGGACGCTTGTGAGGGTTCTAATCCTTCCCCACGCGTAACTGTCTCCCGAACTTGATTTCTGGATTTTCGCAGACCCCAAAACTCGATATTTTATTAAAATAAAATATTTTATTAAAAACACTCAGTTTTTACGATGTTCCAATCTCACCTTAAATGACTGGTGGTGACTCCTCACATTTCGAAACGATTTTCAAAGAGACAACCCCGAGTCGGTATCGGTCTTTTCCCGCCCAGGCGAAAAACGGTGTCGACAGGGTATAATTTTAAATTTATTTTTTATTTTAATTATATATTAATAAAATAATAATAAAATATATTGTGTCACAAAAAATTAATAAAATAAATTAGAATAATCAAACTGAATTTTTTTAAACTTTAGTGACCAAAAGTGAGAAGATAAATGAGTGATTAATGATGTAATTTACCCATAAAAAACAATTCCGTTAAGTTTTTAAAGGAAGAGTATCAAAATGAAACCTAAACTAAATATTAGATATATAATTTAAAAAAAATTAAGTTTAGGTACCAAAATGGAATTAAAGTAATAGTTTAGGTATTAAAAGTGTAGTTTACCAAAAAATATATTGAATAGTAGGATACTAATTTCGATTGCAGGCAAAGCATTTCACTAATCTTTATGACTTGCCAAATATTGTATACTAAATTTCAGTTGTTAATTCAAACAGGAATACATATCATATTAAAGTTAATTTACTCAATCAACAAGGTATAGTTACTTTCAAAGAGTACTGTGCCAAATACAAAAGACAAGGATCAAAGACGATCTTGCAAATAAGCTGAGCTAAACACAACCAATGCACAGATAGAAAGACCTAACAAAGGACCAGCGGGAATCGGTTTCCGAGTGGCTGCCAATCGTATCCCTATAACAGTAACCAGATAAGAAGAGACACACATATGGATAAGACCTCAAATTCAATATATCGATGTTTGCTAAAGATACATGAAATATATTGTGCACATGCAGCATGGTCATCATCAAATAAGATGAAAGGTAAACATATAAAAAGATTAAAAAAAGTAAACCTACCAAAGACAGCGGAGAAAAGGAAGGCAGACCCGAAACCAAGGGCATCACCAATTGCTTTTGTCTCTGGTGATTGCATAAGAAAATATGCCTGACCAGTACAAACAAACATTACAGATAAGTATTGCATTCTTGTAGTCAAATACATTCTATGTTAAGAGGAGACAAGGTTTTCATACACAAACTAAGCCCTAAATGGTCCGTATATCGATATAAGAATGCAAAGGTTTTACTTGGGAAATCCTTATGGAGCACAAAACAGAATAATTCATTTGAACCAAGGACGAAGTGGTACAATGACAATTGTATTAGTTTAAACGGTGACAGTGAGGAAATAGTGAAGAAGAATGTTAGCATTGGTGATTTATAAAATAGTTATACTTGCAGAGGGTATTATATTAAAGCTTATAAAGAAGCATGTCACAGATTAAATAAGATGTTTAACCAAGATTATCTATTCAATCTTGACTATGTGCAGTGGATTGTTCAAATAGAAAACCAATGTGAAGATGCTGGCAAAATTTGAGAAACATCAATGCTTTAAACTAACAGGAGTGAAAAGCTAAAGGATTAATAAGAAAAGAAGGAAATACGAAGGATGACATGGAGGCAACCTAGCACCCTGCAAAAAGAGGAAGAACCATAGGCCAACTCTTTTGTTTTCCCTAGTTCAATTCATTAGACTGTCTAGAGACGGAATGCATAAACTAATAGCATTCAATTCATATAACCACATAAATTCTAGTTACTTGAATGTTATAACTTTACAAACTCGGAAGTGATTGACTACTAGACAATATTACAGTTAGAGGTTGCAGATAACAATGACATAATGAAAACCAGAGAGTTGGTCTACAGTTGAAAACAAGAACTACTTAGCAGAACCAGGCCATCAAGTTATGTGACCCAAACTGAATAAAATATAACAACTTGACCGGATATTGCAGAAAATCCAGAAAAGCTTACAAGTAACTGTTCATGAAAGGATCAACTAATGGTGATTGAGCCTATCAAAATCAGGCACATGTACTCAAAAAAGATTGCTGAAGATGATAAAAACAAACACAGAGTAAGTGTCTAGTGACAGAAGAACACGCCTCAAGTAATGCGGAGGTTTCAAGGAAGGAAAAAGGGAAATTCAGTGAATATGAGAAGAAGAAACAAACAAAAACTTTGATTTATATCATACAAGATGAAACAATTTATGACTTGCTTAATAAAGACCAAGAAAACATTCAAAATAATACCTGGTAGCTGAAGAGCTAAGACAAAAAGGCTCACGTGTTAAAAGAAACCCAACTTCTTTGTTAACACACTCCAAAAAAAAAGGAAACAAACTGGAAAAAGAACAATTAAAGTTAGATTTGTACTGTGAAAAAATGGTAAGACAACAATTCAGTGGTGTCTAGCAAATGCTTTAACAGGATTGGATTAACAACCTAACGCAGGAAACAATAACATATCTCCTACAGTAAGACCAAAAAACACTTTAGCCTGAAATAGTTTAAACATATTTACAATGAATCACCACTTAGAAGAGCAAAACCCAAATATATCTAGATTAATAAAGTTGTAATGATGTGAGATAGTAACAGTGGGATCCATCTTTCAATGTACACTAGAAATCAATGAGAAAAATAGGACTTGCAAATGAAATATGAAGAAACAAAACGTGGAAAAAGATAAAAATAAATTGGAGCAGTGACACGAAGCACATGATGACTATGACAGCGTCCATGTAAACCTGTAAATTCTAATTTTGAATCGGAAACGCAACCCGTGACCATTCTGAACCTAAACTAACCAGAACAAAACGTATCTGGAAACCCAACATGATTCGAACCCGAAATTATTTGAACAAGTAATTGGAAATGACCTAAATCCGAAATCATCCGAATAGAAAAAACCTGACAAACAAATCCGAATGCCATTGCCCAAATATGAAATAACCTAAATCCGATATGACCCAAGAAATTTTAATCCTGAATTGACTATACCCAAGTTAACCCGACCAAACCAAAAGACAGGTGTAGGTAGGCACATGCAAACCAAAATCAATGTCAAAAAGATAATAAAGCAAGCAAAGCAAACTCACAATCACAATTACAATAATTCGAACAAAAAATTGAGTAAACCAAAACCGACAATGGGATTCTATAATTGAATGTTGAATTCATTTTCAGTTAATGCCAAATTACAAACATTATGGAAAGCAGTAGGGAGTAAGGATTCATCAAAAGCATAGAAGTTTTCAAAGGATAAATTAGGAATAACTTGAAAACAGATAAAAAATTTGAAAAAAAGGAGAAAAGAATGCAGAAGAGAAGAAGAAACTGATATTATTAAACATACAGATGTCATAAGAGCAGCTCCAGTGAGGCCTCCAAAGAGAGATCCTTTGCTCCCTGATTTAGTAACTATAAGCAAGTTTGAAATTGAAAATTATGTCAACATAGTTGTTAATTATTACTCAAATGATGATAAATGAAAGGAAAAGCGAGTAGAGAGAGAGAGAGTACATGCAAAGACACCGCCAGAGAATAGAAGGATTCCATAGGTAGCGGAAGTAAGTGAAGCAAACTCCTGTAGCTGAGATCTGCAGCAAAGGCGTCTTGGAGAGGTTGAACCGGTGTTGGGTTTTCTCAAACAAATGCGTTTCCCATTTTCAGGACTTATGGATGGAAAAATTGGGTATTGGTTCGGGAACGAACCCGCCATAACTGCGGTGATCGCCGGCATTTGAACTACTGACGTTGCCGAAGACAATAACATATCTTTCACCGGTCGGTTTGAATTTCAGTTTCTCCACACATATCAATAAACTTTATATTTTGACAACTCTACCGTTTTCTATCTCGTGATGGCTTGTTACTTTTTACTAATTTTTAAATTATCAAATAAATTTTATTAATATTTTTAGGGTAAAGTACGCCTTTAGTAACTAAATTATCAATTTTATTTTTTTAATATATAAACTTTAATTTATTTCAAAATTATACCTAATGTTTACTTTTTTGTTTTATTTTAGTATCCGTAATTAAAAACATGACAATACGGTTACACGTGACATTTTTTAAGGGTAAATTAAGTTATTTATTATTTAATTATCTTCTCACTCCTATTTTAATTGATAAAGTTTAAAAAATTTCAATTTAACTACCCAACTTTCAAATTGCTCATGTTTTAATCACTCAAATTTATTTTATTAATAATTTTTGTGATATGACCTTTTTATTACTATTTATAATTACAATGAAAAATAAATTTGAAAATTAGAATGATTAAATGAAGAGTTTGAAAGTTAAGTAATTAAATTAAAAAATTAAACTTCAGTAGCCAAAATAAAAGTGAGAAGATAATTAAGTGATTAATGATGAAATTTACCCATAAAAAGTGTCATTTGTAACTAGAGATGGTAAACGGGTACAGTTTCGTGGATTCCGCACCGCATCCGCTCCAATTGGAGCGGGGATGGGTATAATTTTAGCGGGTAGTAGGCGGGTGTGGATTTATAAAGTGGTACCCGTCGTGGGTGGTGGGCGGGTAATGGGTTTGAGACATTACCCGCCCCGCATCCGCCCGCCCCACATCCGCCCACCCAACTAAATATCTATTAAATTTTGGACCATTATGAATTTAGGTGTAATTTTAGAGACTAATTTATAAATTTTAATATTGTATAATATATAACATATAATTTATCCAAATATTAAGGATATTTAGTCTTTAATTTGGTCTTTAATTAGGAAAATATTCGGCTCTTTGATTAAACCCATAATCCCACCAACCACGCCACTTTCCATGTTCTTTAGCCCATGCTGCCCATCCAAACACAAATCACCCGTACTATAAGCATCTTTCATACCAACAATTATATATTGTGGCGGACTCTAATCTAAATAGGGTTCTTCAACGAAAAAGGGTCAGAATAAGGAAATGGGATGATCCAGATTTATCATGGCTATCCAAGAATGTCCATATTTGAATTAAGGGTTCGTTCATAGTGTAAGACTTATCTGATCTTTTCAATTGTTAGAATTTTTTTTCTTGAAACAATCATGAATTTTTCTAGGACAGTATTTAAGGATCTCATCGAAAGCAGCAGTTTCCATGTTCTTTAGCCCCTCAAAACCTATATTAGGCGCACTATGAGCATTAACATCGAAAGCAACACAACAATCCAGCTCTGCAACTACATGCTCCATACAATCTATCTCCATAACATTCGTAGAGCTACTCCTCTGACAAATTGAAGCATGCGCTGCTACCCCATCACAAACTGTCTGGGAACCAACTCCAACATCTCATTAGTTTGTTGTCAGGCGGGTCTAGATGGGTATGTCGCTAGTGGGTAGTGGGTGTGGGGATGGATTTGAAAATGTACCCGCGTGGGCGGGTGTGGATTTGAAAATTTGTACCCATCATGGGTGGTGGGCGGGTGGTGGATTGAAAAATATTAGGTGGGTATGGGGATGGGGGAGGGGGTATCCGCACTCGACCCGCCCGTTTGCCATCCCTATTTGTAACAGTTGCTTTCCATACAAACAGCTTCAATCCACCCGAAATAAATTTCTCCACCAATTTTCAACATTCAATTTACACAAAATAATAATAATAAAAAAAACCTATTGATAGTATTGCGGATCAACTTGCTAAGCTTGCATGTTTTGATAACTTGGATACTGTCACTTGCCCCCAGCCTCCTCAAGTGGTACAAGAGATGTTATATGTTGATGCTACGATGGTGATCCAACGAATAGAAACCAATGAGCTGATTGAAGTTGATTAGTTCTTATAGTCTTTGTTTTCTGTGGTTTGTTCTGAGTTATTACTTTTGATGTACTAACATTATCAAGGTTATCTCGCTATTGTTTTGTTATACTATCAATGTACTCTTTTACTAATATACTAAATTTTAAACATGTACTATTGTCGTAGATTGCGACCTAAGAGATGAACTTATGTGTATATAGCTACCTGTTGAGTTAATCAATCGATGAAATCGGCCAAGAGGGGATAAATTGACAATAAAAATTTTGGTGGAAGCTTTTGCAGAAAATTGAAAGTAATTGCACAGCGATTTACAGTGGTTCGACTTTATCAACCAAAGTCTACGTCCACTACCTTAACTATCCACACTAAGGATTTTCCAACAAATTCACTATTTTGTTCTTTCTTTTGAGGCCAAAGAGATAACCTTACAACTCCCTCAAAAATTATACCCCAATTCTTGAGAACACTCTTTCTCAAAGAGAAGATTACAAATTTCGCAAACTTACAAGAAAAACCTCACAAGGTAAGATGTTTGCACAATTCTAGAATAAAGAAAGAACACTCAAGAATAAATATAATTGAGCACAATAAGTGTTCTTGAAAGCAAAATGAATATTGAATGAAAAATAGGCTTGAAATGCTCAAACTTGAGGTTTGATGCTTTCTCTTTGATTCTCTCTTGATTCTAGTTGCTTGATGTTTCTTGTTGTTGATCAATGGCTTCTAAGATTGTTTAAATACACCTTGAATCACTTTTGAATGTTGGGGATCATTAATGAAGTTATTGGAGCCGTTTAAGTGTGAAAACAATTAATATTTCTGCTTGGAGCGTGGGGGGAATCGGTACCCCTCATGGGGAATCGGTTCCCTAAGTGTAAAATTCAAATATTTTGACCGTTGATCAGGGGGAATTGGTACCCCCTTGGGGGGGAATCGGTTCCCTCCGAGCATACTGGAATTTCTCAGAGCCAAACCATTCAGGGGGGAATCGGTTCCCTCTGAGCAATCTGGAATTTTTGGCTTTGAAATGGTTCGAAATATTTTGTAAAATCGTTTTGAAATTATTTTAAGATTAAAACTTAATTTTACACTTGAGTAAGGATTAAAAATGACATTTGAAAGATTTGAAGTAATATTTTGATATTCGAATAATTATATCGAATATACTTAGAAAATCTTTTTGGAAAATCTTAAAATTCATTTAACTTAATTTGTTATATCGAAATATCAAAATGTTTTCAACAATCTACCCTTTTTTGATATAACAAAACTTTTTAGTAATTTTAAGATTTTATTTTGAAATCATGTATCAAGTTTGAAATTACTCCCCCTTACTCTAACACTACTCCTCTTTAAAAACGCTTTTAACATTTCTTCCCCTTTTTGTTAAATCAAAAAGACTTTTAAAAGATATTAAACAAGGTTTTGAAATCATTCAACCAACTGATTATATATAGATAAATAGCTTAAGCTGCTAAGATCACAATCAAGAGAAACGTTATCCATTAGTTTCATAATCAATATTCATAAACAATGTGACATGGCAAAATTGGTCATATATCTAATTGATGTAAATGATGCAATAATGAATAAATTTAACCAAACTAAATATATAGAAATATAAGTTCAAATATCCAACAACCAAAGTAAAAACAATCTAAAAACATTCAAAATGTTGAAACAATAAGCTTTAAGTTCAAAGTACTAAAACATAACACAGAATCAAGCATCCGTAGGAGGATCGGGAGGAGGAAAATGAGCTCGCATAGCGGCCATCTCATGTGAGAGTGCATCAATGCGTTCATTCATAGAAGCGTTGTTTGTGCGCATCTCCCAGAGAATTTCCAATTGTTAAGCTCCCATTGTGGATAAATGAGATTCTATGGAAGTGAAGCGAGAATCCATGGAAGCATATCGAATCGAATGTCTCCATAAAGGATCGAAAGTATGGAGGCATTTGATCCTCTGGTTGTGCTTGTTCCTCTGCTCGTGCTTGTTCCTCGTGCTGTTTTGGTTCATCGTCGGAGTCGTCAACTTAATGCGGTTGCTCACCGGTACGAACCCAAAAACCAGTTTCTTCATTGATCTTCCATCCTGATTTAGTTAAAGAGAATAGATTGATTTGGTTTTGAGGGGAAATGAAGCATCAATACCTACTCTAAGCCCATTCTTCTTAAACATATTACTAAGAATACAACCGTAAACTAAAGAAGAACACAATTTCTTATTGGGAACAAGATTTACGGTTTCGACAAGTTCAGCAAAAATAATCTGTGGAAGGTTAATTTTGTTATTATTTTGGACACAATGAAGCCAAAATAGATCTAAGGCTCGAAGAGTAGAGTAACGGCCTCCGGATGGTCGAAACCACCAAGATATCATGAGGTGAAGAAAACAGTCATGAAGGTCTAGAACACTTGCACTATCCTTTCGCTTATACTGAGATCCTACCGTAAGTTTTTCATTATCTATCCCTTCATTATCTAATCCTAATGCTTTGGCAATGGATTTCGAGTCAAGATGAAAGAATCATCCTAGAAGATAGGATCAGATCCCTATGGTTAAGGTTTTCTCTCAGTTTTTAATGCAAACAATATTAGAGTAGAAGATACGAACAAGTTGATGGTAGACAATGGGTTCAAGCTCAAAGAGTTTATCAAATTTCCACTCATGAAGAGTAGGAAGATGACGAGAATTGATGTCTAGTATGGCTTGAAGAGATGGGATAAGTTCTTCCCGAATTTTGTAGGACTCAAAGTATTGACAAAACCTATAGTAGATATTTTGTTTACGACAGGGTTCATTGAAACAAGAATTGAGAATGGTCATGTTTGGATCGTCGAGATTAGGAATAAGAATTTGTGGGATAGGTGGAGGATTTGGAGGTGAGTTTGGAGGTTGGCTAGAACGACTAGAGGAGGCCCTAGAACGTTTATGAGACTAGTTTAAGATAATTGGAATGGAAAGATAACCTGCATTTTTAA